TCACTTTAGCTGTGTCCATTTCTCTGTTCATACTGTGCCATTTTGAGATGCCGAGTAAAACTTATGCGAGCAATCCTCTCACTTATGGAGACCGAGGTAAGAGACCTGGAAAACAGGGTAAGGTATTTATACCCACATTATTATTTAAGGCAAAGGAATGCCTAGGAGCAACGAAGATTTGGCAATGGAAGCAATCGTAGGGAAGTCGATGGGAGCGGATTGATCACGCGTTACTATGGTGTAGTAAATGGGACCAAAATGCTTCTTAAGAACCTCCGTGAGTTGAGTTTATGCTGTCACCTAAAACATGAACTTTTAAATACCGCATAAACACATGAACATTATTTACAATGGCTGACTATAACAGATGTTTCGTTGTATTAATGGGCTTGTCGATCTCCCAGCCTACCCTCAGACACAAACCTCTGACTTTATAAGAAGATTGATTAAAGAGGGCGTATTTGACATCCTGTACAAAATGAAAAGGAGTGTGTAGGACCACATGACGTTTGGCGGCCACTTTAGGATTCGTCTAGCCCTTGTACTCGTTGAGAGCCTTCGGGCCATGCTCAGACCAATTTACTCTGTCCTCTTTGGAATAAATGTATCCGGTTTCACATACTGCCTTCTTCCACCCGATGGGAAGTCTCGAGACGACGATTTAGAGTTCGTCCGTGGGTAAGTCCACCCGTTCTTCACTCACGAGTTTCGCGTCCGATTTAACCAACCCCCACTTCCGTATAAGGCAACTCAACTATAATAATATAAGTATTGCATAATTTTTCGGGTCAGTTAACTGATTCAACAGAAAAGGACGTTTAAAACCTATGCTTCGACCGGTACCGAATTTTATGACCATTCATTAAAGGAGCCAATGTGATGGTAATCACAAAGTAAACTAGCTTCTAATTGCACTTGATGTATGCATAAAAAGTTTCTGCTTTTGATGTCTTGGTATGCTTAATTATTAATTGGTTGTAAAACTGTGTAAGTCTACCCCATTGTTTGAGTTTGCCAGCTTTGAGGTAGTATTTTCGGATTCCGCTTCCTTAATTGTGATATCTGCGGTTGGTATTCCTGCGGGTTACGTAGCGATGAATATATTTGGTAAACGCAAAACGCCTCAAGAACAATTGCGAGAAAATAATCGAGCTCTCCAAAGAACTATGAGGGAGTTAGATCGCGAAAAACAGCGCCTTGAGAACGAACAAGTTAGAATCACTAATGATATTCGTAGAATGGCCAAACAAAACCAGATGGAGACCGTGAAAATTATGGCAAAGGATCTAGTCCGAACGCGAACGTACATTACCAAACTCGTTAAGATGAGGGCGAGCATTCAGGCTATCTCTCTGAACATGCAAACCCTGAAATCTACTGCTCAGATGTCGGATTCGATGAAACAGGTCGCCCGAACTCTAGTTCGAATGAATAAGCAGATGAATTTGCCTGCCTTACAAAAGACTCTTCGGGAATTCGAAAAGGAGTCGTCGAAAATGGAGATGAAGCAGGAAATGATATCTGACGCTATGGATGATGTTTTTGATCAAGAGGGTGACGACGAAGCCACTGAGGGTGTCGTTCAACAAGTGAGATTGTTGTTTTTGTCATGTCCATTTTGAATTTTGCATATCGCTACCAGTTCAAGTGTTGTAAATCTATTGGTGTTTACCGCGGGCAGAGAAGTTTTTCAGTACTTCGTGCTTATTAATCTCCATACTATTCAACATAAATAGCTGTTGTTTTCTCTCCTCCGCCTTGCATATTCGCCCAATTCACCTTTGCTATACGAGAATATTATTATTTGACTTTGATGAGAATCTCGTGATTTTATTTTCAAACTGTTTTTTTTGCTTTGTTTTTTTTTTGGACACTAAAGACGACGGAGGCTATCTTAAGGCTACATCAGAAGTGTGTCGCATGCATTACTTAATTATCAGTGTATCCATTTTTGAACGTTCTATGTTACGTTATTTGTGGTTCGAGACATTAGTCCTCTCCGATACTTCTTGGATAGATTTAAATCTTATTTATTGACATCATGCGTTTTTCTTAATGTGGCTCTGGTTCCCTTACGGTTTGTGATAAAATGTAAGCAAAGCTGGAGCTCATGTTATTCTTAGGTATTGGACGAGTTGGGCATCGAACTG